TCCAACGTTCTGTCTCGGAATTCCTATGCTGAGTACTCCAAGGTCATAATGTTCTGCCCCAGTGAAGCTTGCCTCCACATGGAGAGCCTTGCAAGCTTCACTTACACGAGGAAATAGTTTTGGCCCAGGTGGCCTCAATTGCATGAGAGTGCCGAAAAACAAAGGCCGCGAACACGGATCATTTCTCGGTATTTTCTTAGGGACTTAAATGTCCAAAATTCTCTTGAAAACTGAAATCATGCACCCCAAGTGTGATATGCATACCCGAAACATCCTATGACAGCTTAGCCATGCACGTATTGTCTCAGGTGTAGTTTTGAACTCCTTCATCAATACTCGTGTGATGCAGTCATGTGTGGCAGCCTTTCTCTGTTCAGGAAGGAGCTACTGCAAGCCTCGAGCTTACCAGGTACGGGTGTGAAGGTGTAAGATCTTCTCAGCCCATGTTTGCCCGACAGTGTCCAGAGCCATATTTGTGCCTCTCAACTGCTTCTCTACTGAAAGCGTATTCTCTTCCCAAAGTTCTCATCTGATGGCTCGTGTCCTTCTGCTATTTCTAAACAAACACATGTCAGGCTTCTCCATATTGCGCATGGGGCACTTCTGCAAAGGCAGTGTAATTACATTGTCTCCTGTGCATTTCAATTCTTCTTCCCGAATAGAGTAGACAGGGTCTCCCAGAAAGAGCCTGGCTGTGGAATGGCTTACTTGTGGAAAGAGTGCTTCTCTGGATCGACGATGAAAACGACTACCTGAGGACGCTGAGGGTCTCATAACAAATGACAATCTGAGGTCCAGACGTGTAGCCTCTGTGGAGACAACTAAGATTCTCACAGCCTGGCATTGCCTGGGTTCTCCTGCTGGGCAGTTTGTATACACATTGATCAGGCTTCCACTTACAGGGCCATGAGGCTTTGGCATCAATCCTATATTCACGGACCGAGAATGCTGGCCTTCCTTTCTCTCCTTTGCCACTCAGCTCTGGAAATATGGAGAGGATCTGGATGTTCTTGATACAGCATTGAGGAGCTTGGGAAGAGCTCGTAAGGACAGGTTCCCATACAAGAGATTGTACTTAAGGTCTCTTTCTTCCTGCCAGACAAGGAAGCCCTTCCTATAGGTGGGGATCCTAATTTCAGTCATACAGGGGGCACTTAGATTCATGGTAGGGTTTTTACTTCATTCATGTCTTTGTTTCTCCCACTCTGTCTTGTGGAAAGACGATTTTGTGACTAATGTGGTATCAGGAAAACCTGTGTATTATGACTTGCTGTGGGTTGGGGCAGATGGAGGTAAGCATGCCAGGAGGCTCAGCATCCACAGTGAAGCTTTCCAGATGGGTTCAGTAGGTGGGGATTCATGACTCTCACAGTCAAGGCCTCGCCCATCTACCGATTCCATTTGGAATCAATGACCCCAGGGCCATGGGGAATTTGTGAGCATCCCCACCGTTGAGAAATGATGCCCCCTTTGACCTACAGCTGAGGTCTTCTCTGTCTTTGTGGCTGCAGGAAAGAAGCAAGAAAATCGTGAAATGCCTGTAAAGAGAACGTAAGTGGCTCCTATATCTTTTTAATATTATTTCTGTATTCTCGCTTTTGTCAGGTCAGAACATCTTGGTATTGTTTATGAGAGGGCCTGTCAGGAGACTTTAAGCTTCCAGGTACTTGGTTGCTTCTCTCCGGGACACATTGGTCATTTATCTTGTCTTTCCCCCATTTCGGTCTCCTGCTTTTTGGAAACTTCCCTTCGGGAAGTGACCTCAGTCGATCATTTGAAGGGACAATCTACCCAGCCCTGAATTCTGTGTCAGTGAGATGAACTGGATGCTCTGGTAGAAGCAGTTAGCACCTGACATTCTAGGTTTTCTGGTCAGGTCCCTGGGTAACATCAGTGTACATGTCATCAAAGCAATGACTGCAGGTACATCCCTTGTCCAGGAAAAAGGAATAGGAATTGAAGGTTGCTTTGGCAATCTCCAGGTCCAGGAGCATATTTCACGGGTGCACAGAAAGGAAGTGGTACAGGCAGGAGGGCTTGTGGGGTAATCAATTTAAATTGTCTTCTAGGTTTCACCAGGGCCACTTCTACCCACTTTTGGAGGGAGAGTGACGTCCTTTGAGATATACCTCCGAGTACCACGTTCTGTCTCAGAATTCCCATGCTGAGTACTCCAAGGTCACTAGGTTCTGCGCCAGTGAAGCTGACCTCCACAGGGACAGCTTTGCAGGCTTCACTGGCCCCAGGTAATGGTTTTGGCCCGGTTGAACATCATGGGATGAGAAGGAGGACCAATGAATCCCCCTGAACAGATAGCATTTCTCAGTATTATCTTATGCACTGAAAAGTCAGAAATTCATGTGAAACCTGAAATCATGACTCCCAAGTGTGATATGCATGCCTCAATCATCCTATACCGTCAGAGTCATGCAAGTGTTCTCTCAGGTGGAGTTTTAACCTACTTCATGAATACTCATGTGTTGCAGTCATGTATTGCGGCCCTTCAGGCGTGAGAATGGAGCTAAGGAGAACCTAGAGCTTACCAGGGATGGGTGGAAAGGGGTAATTGCTTCTCAGTCCAAGTTTGCGCAACAGTGTCAAGGGCCAGATTCATTCCACACGACCTCTTTTCTGCTGACAGGGTGTTCTCTTATCAAGATTTTCATTGGATGGCTCCTGTCATTCTGCTGTTTCTAGACCAACACATATCAGGCTTCTCCATATTGCACGTGTGGCACCTCTGCACTGGCAGTGTGATTATATTGTCTCCTGTGAATTTCTGTTCTTCTGCCCGAATCGAGTAGACAGGGTCTCCCAGAAACAGCCTGGCTGTGGAATGGCTTACTTGTGGAGAGAGGGCTACTCTGGATTGATGATGACAACAACTACCTGAGGACGCTGAGTGTCTCATAACAAATGGCAATCTGAGGTCCAGACGTGTAGCCTTTGTGGAGACGACTAAGATTCTCACAGCCTGGCATTGCCTGGGTTCTCCTGCCAGGCAGTTTGTACACACATTGTTCAGGCTTCTGCTTACAGGGCTGTGAGGCCTCGGCATCAATTCTATGTTCACGGACCGAGAATGCTGGCCTTTCTTTCTCTCCTTTGCCACTCAGCTCTGGAAATGTGGAGAGGCTCTGGGTGTTCTTGAGAGAGCATTGAGGAGCTTGGGAAGAGCTCGTGAGGACAGGTTCCCATACAAGAGATTGTACTTAAGGTCTCTTTCTTCCTGCCACATGAGAAAGCCCTTCCTGTAGGAGGGGATCCAAATTCCAGGCATACAGGGGGAACTTAGATTCAGGGTAGGGTTGTTACTTCATTCATGTCTTTCTTTTTCCCACTCTGTCTTGTGGAAAGACGATTTTGTGAGAAATGTTTTATCAGGAAAACCTGTGTAGTATGACTTGCTGTGGGTTTGGCCAGATGGAGGTAAGCACACCAGGAGGCTCAGCATCCCCCGTGAAGCTTTCCAGATGAGTTCAATGAGTGGGGATTCATGACTCTCACAGTCCAGCCCTCGCCCATCTACTGATTCCATTTGGAATCAATGACCCCAGGGCCATGGGATTTTGTGAGCATCCCCACCGTTGAGAAAAGATGCCCTCTTTGACCTACAGCTGAGGTCTTCTCTGTGTTTGTGGCTACCGGAAAGAAGCAAGAGACTAGTGAGCTGCCTGGAAAGAAAAGGTAAGCGGCTCCTATACCCTTTTAATATACTTTCTGTATTCTGGCTTTTGTCAGGTCACAACATCTTGGGATAGTTTAAGAGAGGGCCTGTCAGGAGGCTTAAAGCTTCCAGGTTTCTTGGGTGCTTCTCTCCGGGACACGTTGGTCATTTATCTTGTCTTCCCCCATTTTGGTCTCCTACTTTTCGGATACTTCCCTTCGAGAAGTGACCTCTGTCTATCAATTGAAGAGACAATCTACCCAGCCCTGAATTCTGTGTCAGTGATAAGAACTGGTTGCTCTGAAAGAGGCAGTAATCGCCTGACATTCTCCGTTTTCTAGGCAGGTCCCTGGGCAGCGTCAGTGTACATGGCATCAAAGCAATGGCTGCAGGTACATCCTTTGTACAGGAAAAAGGAATAGGAATAGAAATTTGCCTTGGAGTATTCCAGGTCCAGGAGCAGAGTTCACGGGTGCACAGAAAGGAAGTGGTACAGGCAGCAGCGCTGGTGGAGTCCTCAATTTAGATTGTCTTGTAGGCTTCACCAGGGCCTCTTCTACCCTCTTTGGGAGGGAGAGTGATGTCCTTTGAGATATGTCTCCGAGTCCCACGTTCTGTCTCAGAATTCCCATGCTGAGTACTCCAACGTCATTAGGTTCTGCCCCAGTGAAGCTTGCCTCCACAGGGAGAGCTTTGCAGGCTTCACTGGCCCCAGGAAATGGTTTTGGCCCAGGTGGCCATCATTGGATGAGAGGGCCGAAAAACGAAGGCCGCGAACACAGAGCATTTCTCCGTATTATCTTGGGGACTTAAAAGTCCAAAATTCACGTGAAACCTGAAATCATGCCCCTCAAGTGTGATATGGACTCCCGAAACATCCTATGCTGGCTTAGTCATGCACGTATTCTCTCAGGTGGAGTTTTGAACTCCTTCATGAATACTCATGTGATGCAGTCATGTGTGGCAGCCTTTCTCTGTTCAAGAAGGAGCTACCGCAAACCTCGAGTTTACCAGGGATGGGTTGGAAGGGGTAAGATCTTCTCAGCCCATGTTTGCCTGACAGTGTCCAGAGCCATATTCGTTCCACTCAACCGCTTCTCTACTGACAGGGTATTCTCTTCCCAAAGTTCTCATCTGACAGCTTGTGTCATTCTGCTCTTTCTAGACCAACACATGTCAGGCTTCTCCACATTGAGGTGCGGCAGTTCTGGATTGGCAGTGTAAGGATACTGTCTCCTGTGCATTACTGTTCTTCTGCACTAATCCACTAGGCAGGTTCTCCCAGAAACAGCCTGGCTGTGGAAATTCCTACTTGTGGAAAGAGGGCTTCTCTGGGTCGATGATGAGAACTTCCTGAGGACGCTGAGGGACTCATAACAAATGGCAATCTGAGGTCCAGACGTGTAGCTTCTGTGGAGAAGACAAAGATTCTCACAGCCTGGCATTTCCTGAGGTCTCCTGCCGGGCAGTTTGTACACAAATTGTTCAGGCTTCCGCTTACATGACTGCGAGGTCTCGGCATCTATCCTTTGTTCACGGACCGATAATGTTTGCCTTCCTTTCTCTCCTTTGCCACTCAGCTCTGGAAATGTGGAGATGCTCTGGTTCTTCTTGAGCCAGCAGTGAGGAGCTTGGGATGAGCTCGTAAGGACAGGTTCCCATATAAGAGATTGTACTTAAGTTTTCTTTCTTCTTGCCAGACGAGGAAGCCCTTCCTGTAGGAGGGGATCCAAATTCCAGTTGTACAGGGGGAACTTGGATTCAGGGTAGGGTTGTTGCCTCATTCATGTCTTTGTTTCTCTCCCTCTGTCTTGTGGAAAGACGATTTTGTAAGGAATGTGGTGTCAGGAAAACCTGTCCAGTATGTCCTGCTGTGGGCTGGGCCAGATGGAGGTAAGCACGGCGGGAGACTCAGGAAGCCTAGGGAAGATTTCCAGATGGGTTGCTTGAGTGGGGAGTCATGACTTTCACAATCCAAACCATGCCTATCTACTTATTCAATTTGGAATCAATGATCCCAATGCCGGGGGAATTTATGAGCATCACCGCCTTTGAGAAATGATGCCTGGTTTGACTTACAGCTGAGGTCTTCTCTGTCTTTGTGCCTGCATGAAAGAAGTAGGAGACTCGTCAAGAGCCTGGAAAGAAAAGGTAAGCGGCTCCTTCAAACTTTTGATATACTTTTGGCATTCTGGGTTTTGTCAGGTATGAACCTCTGAGTTTTTGTTTATGAGAGGGCCTCTCAGGTGGCTTTAAGCATCCTGGGATCTTGGGTGGTTCACTCTGGGACACATTGGTTATTTATTCTTTCTTCCCCCATTTTGATCTCCTGCTTTATGGAAACTACCCTTCGGGAAGTCACATCAGTCTATCATTTCAAGGGATGATCTAACCAGCCGTGAATTCTGTGTCAATGAGAGGAGCTCTTTGCTGTGATGGAGGTAGTCAGTGCCTGACATTCTAGGTTTTCTGAGCAGGTCCCTGGGCACCGTGAGGGTACATGGCATCAAATCAAGGGTTGCGGGGACTTCCTCTCTCCAGGAATAGGGAATAGGAATTGAAATTCACCTGGGAGCACTCCAGGTCCAGGAGCAGAGTTCACGGGTGCACAGAAAGGAAGTGATACAGGCAGCAGAGCTGGCAGGGTCCTCAATGTAGACTGCCTCCTAGGCATTGCCAGGACCTCTTCTACCCACTTTTGGGAGCAGAGTGGAGTGACGTCCTTTCAGATATGTCTCCAAGTCCCACGTTCTGTCCTGGCATTCCCATGTTGAGTGCTCCAAGGTTCTGCCCCAGTGAAGCTTGCCTCCACGGGGAGAGCTTTGCAGGCTTCCCTGTACCCAGGAAATGGCTTTGGCCCAGGTGTCCATCATGGGATGAGAGGGAGGACCAGTGAAGCCCCCTGAACAGATAGCATTTCTCGATATTATCATACACACTGAAAAGTCAGAAATTCATGTGAAACCTGAAATCATGACTCCCAAGTGTGATATGCACACCCCAATCATACTATACCAGCATAGTCATACAAGTGTTCTCTCAGGTGGAGTTTAAACCTACTTCATGAATACTCGTGTGTTGCAGGCATGTGTTGCGGCCCTTCTGGGGTGAGGGTGGAGCTAAGGAGAACCTAGAGCTTACCAGGGATGGGTGGGAAGGGGTAAGAGCTTCTCAGTCCCAGTTTGTGCGACAGAATCAAAGGCCATATTCATGCCACACAACCTCTTCTCTGCTGACAGGGTGTTCTCTTCAAAATATTCTCATTTGATGGCTCCTGTCATTCTGCTGTTTCTAGACCAACACATATCAGGCTTCTCCACATTGCGCGTGTGGCACTTCTGCACTGGCAGTGTAATTACATTGTCTCCTGTGCATTTCTGTTTTCTGCCCAAATCGAGTAGACAGGGTCTCCCAGAAACAGCTTGGCTTTGGAATGGCTTACTTGTGCAGAGAGTGCTTCTCTGGATCTATGATGAGAACAACTACCTGAGGATGCTGAGTGTCTCATAACAAATGGCAATCTGAGGTCCAGATGTGTAGCCTCTGTGGAGATGACTAAGATTCTCATAGCCTGGCATTGCCCGGGTTCTCCTGCTGGGCAGTTTGTATACACATTGTTCAGGCTTCCGCTTACAGGGCCACAAGGACTTGGCATCAATTCTATGTTCACGGACCGAGAATGCTGGCCTTCCTTTCTCTCCTTTGCCACTCAGCTCTGGAAATGTGGAGAGGATCTGGATGTTCTTGAGACAGCATTGAGGAGCTTGGGAAGAGCTCGTAAGGACAGGTTCCCATACAAGAGATTGTACTTAAGTTCTCTTTCTTCCTGCCAGACGAGGAAGCCCTTCTTATAGGAGGGGATCCAAATGCCAGTCGTACAGGGGGAACTTAGATTCAGGGTAGGGTTGTTACTTCATTCATGTCTTTGTTTCTCCGACTCTGTCTTGCAGAAAGACGATTTTGTGAGGAATGTGGTATCAGGAAAACCTGTGCAGTATGACTTGCTGTTGGTTGGGCCAGATGGACGTAAGCACACCAGGAGGCTCAGCATCCCCAGCGAAGCTTTACAGATGGGTTTAATGAGTGGGGATTCATGACTCTCACAGTCCAGCCCTCGCCCATCTACTTATTCCATTTGGAATCAATGACCCCGGGGCCATGGGGAATTTGTGAGCATCCCCGCCGTTGAGAAAAGATGCCCTCTTTGACCTACAGCTGAGGTCTTCTCTGTCTTTGTGGCTGCAGGAAAGAAGCAAGAAACTCGTGAAATGCCTGGAAAGAGAAGGTAAGCAGCTCCTATATCCTTTTAATATTCTTTCTGTATTCTGGCTTTTGTCAGGTCAGAACATCTTGGTATTGTTTATGAAAGGGCCTGTCAGGAGGCTTTAAGCTTCCAGGGCTCTTGGTTGCTTCTCTACGGGACACTTTGGTCATTTATCTTGTCTTCCCCCATTTCGGTCTCCTGCTTTTTGGAAACTTCCCTTCGGGAATTGACCGCAGTCGATCATTTGAAGGGACAATCTACCCAGCCCTGAATTCTGTGTCAGGGAGAGGAACTGGATGCTCTGGTAGAGGCTGTTAGCACCGGACATTCTAGGTGTTCTGGGCAGGTCCCTGGGCAGCATCAGTGTACATGTCATCAAAGCAATGACTGCGGGTACATCCTTTTTCCAGGAAAAAGGAATAGGAATTGAACTTTGCCTTGGAGTATTCCAGGTCCAGGAGCAGACTTCACGGGTTCACAGAAAGGAAGTGGTACAGGCAGCAGGGCTGGTGGGGTCCTCAATTTAGATTGTCTTCTAGGCTTCGCCTGGACCTCTTCTACCCAGTTTTGGAGGGAGAGTGACGTCCTTTCAGATATGCCTCCGAGTCCCACGTTCTGTCTCGGAATTCCCATGCTGAGTACTCCAAGGTCACTAGGTTCTACCCCAGTGAAGCTGGGAGCATGGGAGGACCAGTGAAGCCCCCTGAACAGATTGCATTTCTCGGTATTATCTTACGCACTGAAAAGTCAGAAATTCGTGTGAAACCTGAAATCATGACTCCCAAGTGTGATATGCACGCCCCAATCATCCTATACCGGCATAGTCATGCATCTGTTCTCTCAGGTGGAGTTTTGACTTCCTTCATGAATACTCGGGTTTTTCAGTCGTGTGTTGTGGCCCTTCTGGGGTAAGAATGGAGCTAAGGTGAACCTCGAGCTTACCAGGGATGGGTGGGAAGGGGTAAGAGCTTCTCAATCCAAGTTTGCGCAACAGCGTCCAGCGCCATATTCGTGCCACACGACCTCTTCTCTGCTGACAGTGTGTTCTCTTCCCAAGATTCTCATTTGATGGCTCGTGTCCTTCTGCTATTTCTACACCACCACATGTCAGGCATCTCCACATTGTGCGTGCGGCAGTTCTGCACTGGCAGTGTAATTACACTGTCTCCTGTGCATTACTGTTCTTCTGCCCTAATCGAGTAGACAGTGTCTCCCAGAAACAGCCTGGCTGTGGAAATGTTTTCTTGTGGACAGAGTGCTTCTCTGGATCAATGATGAGAACAACTACCTGAGGATGCTGAGGGACTCATAACAAATGGCAATCTAAGTTCCAGGCGTTCAGCCTTTGTAGAGACGACTCATATTCTCACAGGTTGGCATTGCCTGGCATCTCCTGCCATGCTGTTTGTACACACATTAGTCCGGCTTCCTCTTACAAGGCCACAGGCATGAGCATCAATCCTGTATTCAAGGACCAAGAATGCTTGCCTTCCTTTGTCTTCTTTGTTACTCAGCTCTGGAAATGTGGACAGGTTCTTTGTGTTCTTGAGCCAGCAATGAGGAGCTTGGGAAGAGCTCCTAAGGACAGGTTCCCATACAAGATATTGTACTTAAGGTCTCTTTCTTCCTGCCAGAAGAGGAAGCCCTTCCTATAGGAGGGGATCCAAATTCCAGTATTACAGTGGGAACTTACATTCAGTGTAGGGGTGTTGCTTCATTCATGTCTTTGTTTCTCCCTCTCTTTCTTGTGGAAACACAATTTTGTGAGGAATGTGGTGTCAGGAAAACCTGTGTAGTATAACTTGTTGTGGGCTGGGCCAGATGGAGGTAAGCACAGCAGGAGGCTCTGCATGCCCAGGGAAGCTTTCCAGATGGGTTCAATGAGTGGCGAGTCATGAGTCTCACAGTCCACCCCTCGCCCATCTGATTCAATTTGAAATCAATGACCCCAGAGACAGGGGGAATTTCTGAGCATCCCCCCCTTTGCAAAAAGATGCCCGCTTTGACCTACAGCTGAGGCCTTGTCTGTCTTTGTGGCTGCAGAAAAGAATCAAGAAACTCGTCAAGTGCCTGGAAAGAAAAGGTAAGTTGCTCCTTGAGGCTTTTGATACACTTTCCGTATTCTGGGTTTCGTCAGTTCAGAACCTCTGGGTTTTTGTTTATGAGAGCGCCACTCAGAAGGCTTTAAGCTTCCTGGGTTCTTGCGTGATTCTCTCTGGGACACATTGGTTATTTATTTTTTCTTCCCCCATTTTGATCTCCTGGTTTATGGAAACTTCCCTTTGGGTAGTGACCTCAGTCTATCATTTGAAGGGATGATCTACCCAGCCGTGAATTCTGTGTCAATGAGAGTAGCTGGTTGCTCTGATGGAGGCAGTCAGTGCCTGACATTTTAGGTTTTCTGAGCAGGTCCCTGGGCCCCATCAGTGTACATGGCATCAATGCAATATCTGCGTGGACTTCCTCTCTCCAGGAAAAGGGATTAGGAATTGAACTTCGCCTTTTAGCACTCCAGGTCCAGGAGTCGAGTTCATGGATGCACAGAAAGGAGGTGGTACAGGCAGCAGGGCTGGTGGGGTCCTCAATGTAGACTGCCTTCTAGGCATCACCACAACCTCTTCTACCCACATTTGGGAGCAGAGTGACGTCCTTTGAGATATGTCTCCGAGTCCCATGTTCTGTCTCGGCATTCCCATGCCAAGTACTCCAAGGTCACAAGGTTCTACCCCAGTGAAGCTTGCCTCCACAGGGAGAGCTTTGCATGCTTCACTGGCCCCAGGAAATGGTTTTGGCCAGGGTGTCCATCATGGTCTGAGAGGGCAGACCAATGAAGCACCCTGAGGAGATAGCATTTCTCAGTATTATCTTAAGCACTGAAAAATAAGAAATTCGCGTGAGAGCTGAAATCATGACCCCCCAAGTGTGATATGCATGCCCAAACATCCTATGCCAGCATAGTCATGCACATGTTCTCTCAGGTGGTGTTTTGATCTCCTTCATGAATACTCGGGTTATGCAGTCATGTGTGACGGCCCTTCTATGGTCAGGATGGAGCTAAGGCAAACCTCGAGTTTCCAGGGGAAGGTAGGAAGGGGTAAGAGCTTCTAAGTCCAAGTTTGTGTGACAGCGTCCGGGGCCATATTCGTGTCACCTGACCTCTTCTCTACTGACAGTGTATTGTTTTCCTAAAGTTCTCATCTGATGGCTCATGTCCTCTGCTATTTCTAGACGAACACATGTCAGGCTTCTCCACATTGAGCGTGTGGTGGTTCTGGATGGGCAGTATAAGCACACTGTCTCTTGTGTGTTACTGTTCCTGTACCCTAATCTAGTAGACAGGGTTTCCCAGAAACAGCCTGGCTGTGGAAAGACTTACTTGTGGAAAGAGTGCTTCACTGGATCGATGATGAGAACAACTACCTGAGGATGCTGAGGGACTCATAACAAATGGCAATCTGAGGTCCAGACGTGTAGCCTCTGTGGAGATAACTAAGATTCTCACAGCCTGGCATTGCCTGGGGTCCGCTGCTAGGCAGCTTGAACACACATTGGTCAGGTTTCCTCTTCCAAGGCTGTGAGGCCCTGGGCATCAATCCTGTGTTCACAGACCAAGAATACTGGCCTTCCATTCTCTCATTTGCCACTCAGCTCTGTAAATGTGGAGAGCCTCTGGGTGTTCTTGAGCCAGCAATGAGGAGCTTGGGATGAGCTCATAAGGACTGGTTCCAGTACAAGAGGTTGTACTTACGGTCTCTTTCTTCCTGCCAGAAGAGGAAGCCCTTCCTATAGGAGGGGATACAAATTCCAGGAGTACATTGGGAATTTAGCTTCAGGGTAGGGGTGTTGCTTTATTCACGTCTTTGTTTCTCCTACTCTGTCTTTTGGAGAGACGATTTTGTGAGGAATGTGGTGTCAGGAAAACCTTTCTAGTGTGACTTGCTGTGAGCTGGGCCAGATGAAGGTAAGCACGGTGGATGGCTGAGCATCCTCAGCAAAATTTTCCAGATGGGTTCCGTTAGTGGGGAGTCATGACTCTCTCAGTTCATCCCCTGTCCATCTACCAATTCACTTTGGAATCAATGACTGCAATGCAGTGGGGAATTTCTGAGCATCCCCGCCTTTGAGAAAAGATTCCTGATTTGACCTACAGCCAAAGTCTTTTCTGTCTCTTTGGCTGCAGGAAAGAATAGGAGACTCGTGAAGTGTCTGGAAAGAAAAGGTAAGTGGCTCCTTGAGCCCTTTTGATATACTTTCATCATTCTGGGTTTCATCAGTTCAGAACCTCTGTGTTTTTTTTCATGAGAGGGCCTGTCAGGAGGCTGTAAGCTTCCTGGGTTCTTGGGTGCTTTGTTCCAGGACACATTGGTTATTTATTTTTTCCTCCCCCATTTCAGTCTCCTGGTTTACGGACTTTTCCCTTTGGGAAATGACCTCAGACCATCATCTGAAGGGATGATCTACCCAGTCATGAATTCTGCATCACTGAGTGGAGCTGGTTGCTGTGATGGAGGCAGTCAGTGCCTGACATTTTAGGTTTTGTGAGCAGGTCCCTCAGCACTGTGACAGTACATGGCATCAAAGCAATGGCTGCGGGGACTTCCTCTCTCCAGGATAATGGATTGGGCATTGAACTTTGCCTTGGAGTAGTCCAGGTTCAGGAGCACAGTTTGTTGGTGCACAGAAAGCAAGTGGTACAGGAAGCAGGGCTGGCAGGGGCATGAATGTAAAACTGCTTTCGGCCATCGCTGGAACCTCTTCTACCCACTTTTCAGAGTGGAGTGACATCCTTTGAGATATGTCCCCCAGTCCCACATTCTGTCTCGGCATGCCCATGCTGAGTACCCGAAGGTCACTAGGTTTTACCCCAGTGAAGCGTGCCTCCAGAGGGAGAATTTTGCAGGCTTCAGGGGCCCAGGAAATGGTTTTGGCCCAGGTGTCCATCATCGGATGAGAGGGTGGACCAATGAGGGCCCCTGAATCAAGATCATTTCTGGGCATTATCTTAAGGACTGAAATCTCAGAAATTCACTTAAAACCTGAAATTATGACCCCCAAGTGTGATATGCACGCCCCAAACATCCTCTACTGGCATAGTCATGTATGTGTTCTCTCAGGTGGAGTTTTGACCTCCTTCATTAATACTCTGGTGAAGCAGTCATGTGTGGGGGCCCTTCTGTGGTCAGGATTTAGCTAAGGTGAGCCTCAAGCTTACCAGGGACAGGTGAGAAGTGGTAAGAGCTTCTCAACCCATGTTTGTCTGACAGCGTCCAGGGCCATATTAGTGCCACTCAACCTCTTCTCTGCTGACAGGATGTTCTCTTCCAAAGGTTCTCATCTGATGGCTCATGTCCTTCTGCTATTTCTAGACCAACACATGTCAGGCTTCTCCACATTGAGCATGCGGCAGTTCTGAACTGGCAGTGTATGCACACTGTCTCCTGTGCATTACTGTTCTGCCCTAACCCAGTAGACGGGGTCTCCCTGAAACAGCCTGGCTGTCGGAAGGCTTACTTGTGGAGAAAGTACTTCTCTGGATTGATGATGAGAACAACTGCCCAAGGACACTGAATGACTCATAAGAAATTCCAATCTGAGGTCCAGACGTGCAGCCTCTGTGGAGATGACTATGGTTCTCACAGCCTGGCATTGCCTGGGGTCCGCTGCCAGGCAGCTTGAATGCACATTGGACAGTCTTCCTCTTTCTAGTCTGTGAGGCCCTGTGCATCAATCCTGTGGTCATGCACCAAGAATGCTGGCCTTCCTTTCTCTCTTTTGCCATGCAGTTCTGGAAATGTGGAGAGGTTCTGGGTGTTCTTTAGCCACAAATGTGGAGTTTGGGAAGAGCCCATCTGGACAAGTTCCAATACCAGAGATGTACTGAGAGTCTCTTTCATCCTGAGAAAAGAGGAAGCCTGTTCTATAGGAGGGTTCCCAATTCAAGGAGTACAGTGGAAACCTACATTCAGGGTAGGGGTGTTGCTTCCTTCAAATCTTTGTTTCTCTGACTCGTCTTTTGGAGAGTCTGTTTTGTGAGGACTGTGGTGTCTTTATATCCTTTCTAGTATGACTTGCTGTGGGCTGGGCCAGATGAAGGTAAGCACAGCATGATGCTGAGCATCCCCAGTGAAACTTTCCTGGTGGATTTCATGAGTGGGGATTCATGACTCTCACAATCCATCCCCTGCCCATACACAAATACACTTTGCAATCAATGACTCCATTGCCGTGGGGAATTTTTGAGCATCCCCACCTTTGAGAAAAGATGCCCAGTTTGACCTACAGTTGAGGTCTTTTCTGTCTTTGTGGCTGCAGGAAAGAAGCCGGAGACTTGTGCAGTGCCTGAAAAGAAAAGGTAAGCAGCTCCTTGGTCCCTTTGGATGTTCTTTCTGCATTCTGGGTTTCATCAGGTCAGAACCTCTGGTTTTGTGTTCCCAAGAGGGACCGAAGGTCATCCTGTCACAAGGCTTAAGCTTCCTGGGTTTTTGGGTGCTTCTCTCCAGGATCCATTGGTTTTTTTTATTTATTTTTTTCTTCTTCCCCCATTTCCATCTCCTGCTGTATGGACTCTTCTCTTCAGGACATGTCATCAGACTATCATTTGAAGAGATGACCTACCCAGCCATTAATTCTGTTTTAGTGAGAGTAGCTGGTTGCTGTAATGGAGGCAGTCAGTGCCTGACATTCCAGGTCTTCTGAGCAAGTCCCTAGGCACCATGCGAGTACATGGCATCAAAGCAATGGCTGTGGGGACTTCCTCTGTCCAAGGTAAGGGATTAGGCATTGAACTTTGCCTTGGAGCACTCCAGTTTCAGGAGAAGAGTTCACGGGTGCACAGAAAGGAAGTGATACAGGCAGTGGACTGGCAGGGGTATGAATGTGGAGAATTGCCCTCTATGTGTTCATAGGATCTCTTCTACCCACTTTTGGGAGTGGAGTGACGTCCTTTGAGATATGTCTTCCAGTCTCATGTTCTTTCTTGGCATTCCCAGGCCAAATACCCAAAGGTCACGAGGTTCTGCCCTAGTGAAGCTTGCCTCCAACAGGAGAGCTTTGCAGGCTTTACAGGCCCCAGGAAACGGGATTGGCCTGGGTGTCCATCATTGGATGAGAGGGTGGACCAATGAAGGCCCCTGAACTGACAGCATATTCGGACATTATCTTAAGGACTTAAATGTCAGGAACTCGTGTGAAACCTGAAATCATGACTCTCAAGTGTAAGAAACATGCCTGCCTGGCCTTGTCATGCACATGTTCTCTCAGGAAAAGGCAAGTTGCTCCTTGATCCCTTTTGATGTTCTTTCTGCATTCTTGGTTTCATCAGGTCAGATACTGCGGGTTTGTGTTCATCAGAACACATGAAGGGAGACCTGTCATGAGACTTTTATTTTCCTGGATGCTTCTTTTGTGGACACATTTTTTTTCCCATGTAGTAGTCACTTTTCTATTGTTATAATAGAAACACTGGCCCAAGGAACTTATAGAAAGAATAGTTTATTTAAATTTACTTTTCCAAGGGAATTACAGTCCATCATGGCTGGGATGCATGATGGCTGGAGGTGGCTGGACCAGGAGCAGCAGAATCCAAGCTCTCACATCATCATGTAGTCACAGGGAGCAAAAGAGTGACTAGAGATCTAACAAGGATTAATATCTCTCTAAGCCCAACCCCAATGATGGGCTTCCTCCAGGATAACCACACCTCTAAATCCTCCTATAACTGCCATCATCCAGGGACAAAACCTTCAAATACTTTGAGCTTATGGGGGGACATTTTCATTCAAACCACTAAATTCCACCTTCTTCCCCTCATAGTCTTATGATCATATAAAATGCAAAATGCATTTAATCCAACTTTAAAAGTCCCCATAGTCTTTATCAGTCTCAATACTATGTCTCAATACTATTTAAAAGTCCACAGTCCAGTCTTTTCTGAGACTCAGGAAAATATATTAACAGTAAGCCTCTATACAATCAAAAGACAAATTACATGCTCCTGACATACAGTGGAACTGAATCCACATTACCATTTCAAAAGGGAAGAATAGAGGTGTTCGGGGTCTGAAGTATTCCCTGAATTGACCACTGGACACTGAGACTCAGGAGAACTTAACTGCTTTATTGAGACTGACCAGCCAGGCATTCAGGCAGGCTTGGGAGCTACAATGTGACCCAGAGCCATGGTAATGCAGGGCCTTTAAGCACAAAAACCTCAAAGCAGGGGATTTCTACAGAAACCATAAACATAAGAACCAGGAAAGGATTTAAACAATCTTGGGCTGATTTCCAGATCCTTAATCTATACAGCCATTGGCTAGCTTACCTGAGGCAGAAGGTTCTTCCTCTTCTGCCCTGGACCATTCCCATAGAAATCATAAACAGATGTACCAGGAAAGGGTTTGAACAATGGACAGGATTTCCAGAGTCAGGTGGAGGGCGTCTCTTTCTCAGAGGACAGGGAGGGGATCTGAGGGGCAGTTTCCTTCATTCCCCCTTTTGTTTTGGAAATCTTCTTGAATCAAACCATTGATTCATATGTGCAATCTAGGGGATTGTAATGGTCCCTCATAACCATCAGTAGTACAGTGGAGACCCTTTGTTTAACAAACTTGACTAGAATATTAAAAATACAGGGTCCGAAGGTTAACAGTACTATAAAGATTAAGATGGGACTTGGCAGAGCAGTGATAAGGGTGGTAAGCCAAGGCAACCCAGAGAATAGGGACTCAAACCAGTTTGGGAAACTTTTTCTGAGTTCTCTTTCTAAAAGACTCTCTTTTATTTGGTCCAGGGTGTCTTTAATCACACCTGAGTGGTTGGCATAAAAACAACATGTTTCTCCCAGAGCCATGCAGAGTCCACCTTCCTTGAGAAAAAAAAATAGAGACCCCTTCTGTTTTGTAAGACGACTTCAGCTAGTGAGTCTACCTGTTGTTCTAAGTAGGAGGCAGTGGCATGTAATTTCCTAATGTCTTTATCAACCTGTTGGCTCAAGATTCTCAAGTTTTCATTACTGGTGACCCAGGCTGCTCTTCTATGGTGGCGGACCCTGCTATCCCAGTTCCCACGAGGAGGGGAAATAAAATGGAGGCTGCCATGGCTCTTCAAGGCTGAGAGACCCATATGATGTCTTCCAGCATCCACTCCATAGTAATAAACCTGGGCATGACATGTACCAGTACACAAAATTCCTGTCTCCCTATGAAATACTGGGGGTGCAAACAAAGGGTTAGGCCAGAGGAGAAAGCAAACCAAGTGGAGCGGGGAGCAGCAAGCAATTGGGTGTCTCCTATAGACCAGGTGTTCCCGGATAAAGTATAGGACTGATTACAAACCCCAAGGTAGGGAGAAGTAGTCAAAGGATATTCTTTGGACATGAAGCATAGCCCCTACCCCTTCAGATCCCCTAAGGTGAAAGTAGTTTCCCAAGAACATGAGGCAGTGCCATTCAGGGGAACTATTTCTAATTCCTCCCTTTTTGCAGTGAGGGCAAAACCTATGTAGTAGGCTGGTTGGGGATCCAGGCAGAGCCAGCAGTCTTTGGCCATCTCAGGGCTTATGTTATTTAAATACTGGAAGGTAGCCTTCATGGTATTTATAAGGGGCTCCCCCTCTAGAAGGGGAGGGAAATCTTCATCCCTCAGAGGCATCGTCTTCATAGTCAGGAGAGTGGTCAGGCTGGGGACCAATTTATTTGGGGTTTCTAAAGGAGGGAGAGCTTAATCTGACTTAAGTTCTGCCAAAGGTCCTATGGGTTGAGGTGGTACAGGTTTTGGGAATGTTTGAATTGTAAATAGGGTTCCAGAGTCCATGCCAGATACATGGGCCTTCAGTCCCCATGTGTGGCCTGTGTCCCGTTTCTGATCCATAGTAAAGACATCCCATTGTTTTAGAGTTACAATAAGAGGGTTACAGGTCTTGGGGACCTGCAAGATCTATTTTTTTCCAACTGAATATTGATGTGTGGATCTTGTCATTCAAGTGGATACCATGTTGGAGACCATGTCTCACAACCCCAGTAAGCACAGTAATAGCTTCCTTCTTCATCACAGTCAATCCCAGTGTTCACTGGGCATGTGTAGAAGGCAGTTCTTAAGGCTTTTTATTCATCAATGGTGTTGGCCCTACATCCAGTAGCAAGCCTCTGTGCCATAACTCCCCCATGACCACCCATTTGGTATCCCTCATGCTTTCGGGTGGCCTCTCTACCCAGTGTTGACCATAAGGAACATATGTTGGTTTTAAACTGGGGAGCAATCTGAGGGTTAGGAGGTGTCACCTCCATAATAACCTTTCCTGTATGTGTATCGGGTAATTTCCAGACATATGTCTGGGGCTGGTAGACTCCTTGGGGGGCCATTCCAGAGGGTAGAATCAGCAGGAGCAGAGTCATAGTGACCCTGGGGGAACGGGTGAATTGTCTTTTACCAATCAAAGTTTCAGGGGGTCTCCTGGGTGATGTTGGACCTTCCATTTTTCTTGGTCAACCTGGGCAGGCTTGGCGTGTGAGTGATGAATCCAGTTGCACAGTCTGTCCACCTGTACTGCTGTGGGAGTCATCAGGATCACAGTGAATGGTCCTTTCCACCGAGGACCATTGGT